TAAGTTTATTGGTACAATTTAGGTATACAAAATGATGACATTCATCATTGGAAATTTGTACTTTTACATAATCTATCTTGGTTCTTATTTTTTTCCTGCTGTCCTGCCCTCCCTTCAACCCCTCCACCCCTCCCTATTTATAAAGACTTTGTTTCCATTTTCTAATATTAATTCCATTCCCTTCTTTCCTTTCCCCAACCCATTCCACTTCTGGAAGCAATTCTTAATTGAAGGTTTACTTTCTGTTATTTTTGTTTGTAAACCAGGCATGGTGGTGCAACCTGTAATTGCAGCCCTCACAGAGCCGAGGTAGGAGGATCACCTCAAGTTCGAGGTCAGCCTGGACTGCATAGTGATTTCAAGGCCATCTTGAACTACCTAGTCAAACCCTTTCTCAAAAATACAAAACAAAAACAAAACAAACAACTCTGTGTGTGTGTGTGTGTGTGGTTACTATATATATAGTTAATACAGAAGAAGCATTTTTGCTAAATTATAGAAAGCAGACCCTAAAAAGCTACATATCGCATACACTATATGATCCCATTTAAGTGACATTCTGGAAAAGGCAAGCCTGTGAGGACACAGAGCAGATGAGAGCCGCTGGCTGGGTGTGGAGGTGGCATCTCTGGGAGTTCTGAGAGTGAGAGCCTTGTTCTGCATCTGGTTGTGGTGGCTGTTGCATAGCTCTCTGCGTTTGTCAGAACTCAGAACAGTACATCTCAAAGTGTGAATTTCACTGCGTGTGAGTAATAATAGAATGCTTGCACAAAAAGGCCAAATGCGCATTCATTGTACCAAAATGTGTAAAGTACTCAAAAACAAAAAAGAAAAGTAGTCATGCATGCTCTTCCCTAGAGAGAATGTCTGTAAACTTGTTGGTTAGGCCAAATGCGCATTCATTGTACCAAAATGTGTAAAGTACTCAAAAACAAAAAAGAAAAGTAGAGTCATGCATGCTCTTCCCTAGAGAGAATGTCTGTAAACTTGTTGGCGATTACTCTGCACTCTTTTTGGATGTATCTGTGTGTCCTTTGTTTTGTAAGAGAAAATCGATAGCATCAGCATATTTTAATGTGGTTTGTTTGCCTCTTCTTCCTCTTATTTGTTTGTTTTTGTTTTTTTGAGATGG